AATATAGTATAATATTAGACTTGACTTTATTCATTTTGCTGTAATATTTAGTGTGAAATCGAGTGTTCATATTCAGTTAACAGTGTGTGTGTGTGTGTGTGTTTTTTATCAGGCCATACACTGATAAATTGTAGGCCTGCATCATGAACACACATTTGCCTGCAGCTTATTCTTGTTTGTTTCAACCCCCCTTAAAACAGCGTGTATGTGAAAAGGCCATAAAAAGATCACCCAGCATCATATTGATCACATTTCCTCATATTGGTGAACAGATCAAATGCTGAAATCATTTTTAACTTCATAATGAGCCACATGTATGTTGCGCAGAATCAGTCCTGCAGGCTAATGAGTGCTTCATTCATTCAGCTTGTCTGATAACCAGCTAAATGTGTTGAGTCAATATGGTGGTTACATCTGTGCTCATTTCTACCATTATTATCATCAGCTATATTTTGTTCATTTTCTTCCCATTCAGGTCTCATCTAGCCATATTTATTTAGTTATTGATTATTCACATTGTGATCTGTGTAACGCCAAGTCTCGTGGTAATAATTGATTCTATCGATCAGTTAGGGATGGGAAAGGGAAGAAAAGGCAACAACAGAGGGAAATGGGAAGAGAAAAACAGCGCACTGTCAAAGTGATAAAATATTATTATTCACTAGTGAAAGTTTCATTTGTAAATTATAACAGGGTAAATTTCACTGAGCTCGTGTGATGTCAAAATTAAATATTTTTGTTTGTTTATTTTGCAGACGCAAATTCTTACATTTTATTTATTATTTTTTTCCCTTTGTCTTTTCTAGTTTTCAAGTTGTAACTTAGTTATTATGTGCTTTAAAAAAAAATACAAGCATTGTCAGGCACCTTAGTAAAAACCGGGTAAATAATAAACATTTTTAGAAAATAATATAAGGAAAGTTGTTGCTTTAATTACATTTGTTAACTCTTTACAAAGTCAGTCTAAAGATGTGCATGACAAGAGCATTAAAAATAAGTCTCAGTCGGCATAAACATGTCAAAGTTTGATTAATAAGTTTTAAATGTCTGCTTTAAAACTTCCATCTGACACAAAAAAATCAAATAATAGTGCTACTAAAATTTCTGAAGTCAATTTAATAGATAGTTTTTTGTCTACATATGGAAAAACCATTATTATTATTATTTTTCTTTTTTAATATTTCCGCTGGTAAATAATGCCAGGTATCTAATAATAAAAACCATCTTTGGCAGCATAAGGAATTTATTACTATATTAACAACTGTAGTTGTGATTTTTTTTAATCGTCTCGTGAAAGCCATATTTGCGTGTCTTGCAGAGGAACAGGTGATATTTGTTTTTTCACGGTCGCCCTTTTCTAATGATTTCCATCACATAGAAAATCCCTCACTCCCACATATTTGTCTCACATGGTTTTAGTTTGGATCATATATAAACTAGTTGTAAATAAATGTGAGACGTTTATAGCAAACCCTTCATTGTCATTGTCAAGCAAAATAGAAGTGACAGGAAACGGGGGGCGGTGAAATGAATAAGAAAGTTAGACTTGATGAATGTATATGTGTGAATGTGATGAACAAAACCAACATTACTGATGGAAACTTCAGGTATGAAAACTGAGCTTTTCACACCTGAAGCTTTTTTTTTTTTTTGTAATATCCCTGATGAACTTTGTTTCCAGTACGCGTGTTTATGAAGTTGTTTTTTGTACCAAAAAAGATGAAAACTTGTCCACTGTATATTTTTCTTTCAAAATAAGACATGGGAAATATTAACTGTTCTGTAAGTTTTCTTACATATGACAATAAATAACTTGAAAATCAACTTGTGTTTTGTGTTCATTGTGTAGCGTATGCGTGCTGCGAGCTGAAGTGTTTACACACGCACGCAACACTCAAGATTGTAGAGGCCACATACACCAGCCATTATCTCGCGCGCGTGTGTATGTGCGCTTGCGCGATTAAATGACGCATGGGTGTGTAGATGAGATGAAAACAAACGATCTAATATGAGAATGAAACCTTGAATCTTCCACCTCATCATCAACAACAAGAGATTTTTAAGGATGCATGAATATATGAAATATATATTAATGTCTATGTTTGCAACTGAACAGGCAAAATCTCATGACTTAAGTCACCAGAATGAGAAGGATGCTGCTTTTTGTCGTTTAATTCTTCAGAATAAATTCCTTTTCCCTGAAACAGGCTGCATAAAATCGTCATTTTGGGTGCTTATTTTTTTCTTTTTCACGGCTGCAAAGAGAGCGTCAATATCTCATTCAAAACTGCAACCCTGCGCGTGCCCTTCATCCATTATCATTTACCCATAAGTGATCACGTTTACTCGGTGATTAACCAGAAGATTTGAGAAGGGAGTGTAAGTTGCAGCATGAAAACAAAAACGTTGCTGTATTTTTCTCCTACAGATCAGTGTGGTGGATGTTTGCAGGTCGTCGTGTCCAGCATTCATAGCACGTCCATATCTGCAGACATTTTTTTTCTAATAAAATATGAATTTATGAATCTTGACAAGCCAGATGCTGTAAATTCATCTGCTCGGGAGAAGCTGTCTCTCTCTCTCACACCGTCCTTAATCAGTGCAACACAGAAAATCAGCCGCTTCTGTTCCTTTGACTGATTCTGTTTATTTTCTGCTGCATGCATGGTCATTTTAAGGTCAGGACAATGTCCTTTGACCCCTGACCTTCCTGCTATTGCATGTTTGTTTTATTGGCGATGGAGGACTGCAGTCATATGTGTCTTTAATGAAACTTCAGCTAAACGGTTGCAATCTAAACAGGCTCAGCATTGGATTTAGATTAAAAAGTCTTTCCCCACCCACCGTATCTAAAGCAGGCCTTCCTTTGATAAGAGCTGCAGTTAATACTCAAACAGAGCATCCGTCGGTATATTTATTGCCTGTATTGTAATGGGGAAGTTGGGCATCCACCGTTTCTTTTCCCAAGTCCTTCTGAGAGCATCAGCTAAATGGCTTAAATGTAAATGTTTTGGCTGCAGTGTTGCTGATCCTGCTGCCGCTCTCATTGTGAGGAAAGTGACTCTCAGAGCATCAGCTAAATGCCTAAAATGGAAATACGCTTATTATCTGTGATCAAAAGATTTGAAGCTTGAATAAATCAGATAAATCAGGTGGATGAAATGCATTTTTTTTTCATCAGAACTCATTAGACATAAGACAGAAATATGAGGCTTTTTCAGCATTGTTATGACTGTATGTGGCTAAATTCAAAACCCAGTGTTGACAAACCCACACCCTGAACATCCTGCTGGGTGTCAGTTTCCCCTCTAGGCCCGCTGCGTAAAAGTTGGGGCGCTTTGCAGCTCGGGTGTCGGCCTGCTTTCTCGGGTTTTCCAGCCACAGCAGGTGAACTTTCACCCCGACCTCCGAGAGGACCTTTTATTTTCGTTCTGTAGCCGTTGACCATTTTTACCTCCAGCTACTTGCCATCCATACACGCATCCCTTCGTGCTTGCTGTGCGCGGGGCGGATCGATAGGGCAGCATCTGCTCCAGGAAGCCCGCGGTCCCACACCGCGCACCGCTTCGCTGTTTCCAAACGCCAGAACTGCTCATCTCTGAAAATTAAACTGACAGACAGATATGATTAGTATGCGCTCTGCCTCCCTGCTTCTGTCTGTCTCCCTGTTTCTCTCTGAGGCCGATTCGCGCGCAAACATGCACGCTCAGGTCTCGCCACACAGACCAGATGTAATTTGCGCATATTGTATGCGCATGCAGGCACTCTCATGTAAACACACAAGTTGCACAAGCTACACCATAAGTGTAAAGAGCCATGTATGCAGGCGCGCATTAGCGCGCTCTCACACACAAAACGAGAATAAACTAAAAAACAACAAAACAAAAAAACAAAAAACAAACAGAAAACCAGGTATTGTAAGTGTGCTAAATTTACACACGCACGCGCTCTCCGTATTCCGGGCCTGCATTATATGTGTCTACGTGGTGCTGCGACAGCAGCAGGTCGTGGAGCTTCTGGAAAAAAGGGTCGCATTGATCTTCTTTAGGGACTTTCCAGACTGAAGTGTTGGCAGTGTGAGTGAATGGAGGCGCGTGCTGAGTGCTGATTAAGAGCTGAGCAAAACACGAGCGCCACTTGACACCATTGTTTTCCTGAGAGGTAGGATTTACATTAAACCAACACAAGATATTAAGACCAAAAACACAAATCATTTTCTATTAATAGTTTATAAAAACAAATAAAAACAAATAAATTGTGGCATGGGTTGAATTTTATACACAACACGCTGCTAAATGAGAGATGTTTATATTATTTATTTATTTATTTCTATTTTTTTTTTTTTTATATTTATTTCTATTTTTCCCCTCAGTTAGTGAAGTGACTCATATAACTACATATTCACTAAAAGGGCCTCCTGGTTCTGCACATATACTTGAAATTATATTAGGGGGGAAGCACAACCTTTGACAAAATCATGACATTAATAAATGAAAATAGCATTAATAATAATTTCAAAAACAAAAGGCTCGCGTGTTAGCTAGCGTGGTCTCTTTCCGTCTTCGTGATATATTATTTCATACTGGCAAAAGGAGCAACAGCATTACTTGTTACATAAAAAGGACAGGATGACATTAGCTGCAGCCAGTGAAATCCATTGATCAGACTCGATAAACAGGCGAGCGCAGCAGAATGACCAGGCTGTGCGCACATAATTCATAAGTTGTGCTTGCAATCAGCTGAAGAAGGCTTAACCTGTGGGGTTATGAGAAAGAGAGCATCTCCACCTCAACGCTTCCCCCGCCTCGTCACACCCACACCCTCTCCCCTCCTCCCCCCGGAGAGAAAGGGTTAATTGGAGTAGGAATTTCATCGCACATCTGTCAGATTTTTAAGGCCGTGACGCACTGAAAGCAGAGAGTCAATGTGAGCAAGGGGGAGGAGGAGGAGGAGGAGAAGGAGAAAGAGTTGGTGGTGAGATCGATGAAGTGGCAGGCAGAGGGAAGAGGAGGAGGAGGAGGAAAATCTCACGAGATAATGAAAGAACAAGAAGAGAGCTGCTAGTGTAGAGCAACAAACGAGGCTAGAACGGGACATTTTTTGGAGTGAAAACCAAAGACTGGGAGAAAAAACAGGGACGGAAAGACCGAGAGAGGCTCGTTTGTGACCGCAGATGGTTTGTGCTGTCGGGTTTTAGTGAATGTTGCACCCCGGGGCGCAGCGGACCAATTGTGTGAATCTGCAGGCTGCTCGCTGACAGAGTCGGAGAGATGCACAGGACGGACAAGAGTCGCGGACGCGCTCTGAGAAGTGGATAATAAAGGTAGGATTTTGCACGTTTTTGTAAAACCAATACGTGGTGGTGATATATTTTCTGATTCGCCACCATGTGTGATAGTTAACGTGTCCTACATGTGGAGCGAAAATGCAAAGGAACTGGTCATTTACAGCGCTTCGCATGCGCGCTGTGGGCTGCTTCTGTATCATAACTTTGCATAAGATTCAAAAAGAGCAAAAATATTACATTCCAAGAGAATATTAGTTTGGAGTGAAAAGTGATATCTGTGTTTTCTGGCGCTTTCCGAGGAGTGTGTGTGGCAGAAAAACAAAAGTGCTTTTTAATTAATTTTTCTTTAAATTATTTGTTGCTCTTGTTGTTGCTACATTTTATTTTCCCTCATTGGGCTGCTTTATTTTTTCTCTGTAACGACTGAAGTTTAAATAAAGCGAATAACAGCGCCTGTCTTGTCTCACGCAGGCACAAAAGCGAGGCTTTTGCCGAGGAACCCAGCTGAGCACCAAAGAGACAAGCAGAGCGCTGATGCACAAGCGAGAATAAAATCTCAGTTAGAGCTCCTAATGTTGTTGCAATCTCGTTTTCCGGGAGTTTGAGGAAGTTTGAAGACAGTACTTAACGTTATCAGATAATTAATTAGACACCCTATAAGCCCGGAAATCAATTAATTCACAAATCAATAAATCTATAGTCTGGTGTAACAAGAGACCTTACAGACTGTTGGCCCAGTTGTCCAACAACAATAACAAGAGGAGACCAGCCACACATCACGGCAAGAAATACAACTTTATTTGTTGAAATTAACGATGGATGGGAGTCTAGGGGAGATGTCCCTCCACAGCCACTCTGATCTGGCTCACAGCCAGGATGGCAGGGCTATGCTGCACTCCCGGGACCTTTCAGCTGCTTTCCCCAGGCCTTCCCTTGGGGGCTCCTCCATGTCTCTGGAACCTGAGCCCCGTCCACCAGGCTTCGATCACTCCATGTCAGCGCTGGGCTACAGCGGCGACTCCCCATCCAGCTCTGGCAGCACATACACTACCCTGACCCCCCTGCAGCCCTTTGACGACAAGTTCCACCACCACCATCACCATCACCCCTGTCTCCCTGTCAGCAATGTTATTGGTAGCTTTACCCTTATGCGTGAGGATCGAGGCCTCAGCACCAACTTCTACAACCCTTATGGCAAGGAACTGGCCATGTCCCAAAGCCTGTCGCCTCCATCCACAGGATCAGGCCTGGGTTCCTCCATGCATGGCTATGGAAGTCTGGGCAACAGCCCTAATGGTAACGGCAGTCAGATGCTCCCTGGTGGTTATGATGTACATGGAGGGAGCCTTTTCTGCCGAACATCGGATTTTGGCCGAGAGATGTCGCCGCCAGGCCTAGGAGGAGGTGATGTTTCAGTGGGGCATCAGCTAAATAAAATGGAGACTCACCAGCATGCCCCAGGCCATCACCCACACATCTATAGCCAGCACTACCAGCCACACCATCACCCGAGCCAGCAGGCCACCAAGATGGGTGACCACCTGCACTCTTCATCGTCTGCTTCATCCTCACCCAGCGAGGGCATGCTGCTGGGCTCACAGGGCAGTGGAGGAAGCAGTGGAGAGGAGATCAACACCAGGGATGTGGCCCAAAGGATCATCACTGAGCTGAAGAGGTACAGCATCCCCCAGGCCATCTTTGCTGAGAGGGTTTTGTGTAGGTCACAGGGCACACTGTCTGACCTCCTGAGGAACCCTAAGCCCTGGGGCAAGCTCAAGTCTGGCCGTGAGACCTTTAAAAGGATGTCCCGCTGGCTCCAGGAACCGGAGTTTCAAAGAATGGCCTCGCTCAGGCTGGAGGGTAAGATCTGGCTTTACTCTGTATTTTTTCCACACATACACACATGTATGTTCACGCACACACACACACACACACACACAGGCTCAAACAGAAACCACAACAACAGACACGCTCACTCTCCTTGTTTTCCCCAAACGCCTCCCTTCTCCGTGTCTTCCAAAAAAAAAATCTCCTCTCCAGCAATCAGTATGCAGCTCAGGTTGATACATGAGTAAAAGCAAAAGCATCATACTGATGTTTCCCTCTTTCCCACTGCTGTGAATGTACAACCGCTGTGTCTGTTGTCTCGTCAGCCCGGGTAATAAGAACTTAGCAGCACATTAAGGTCAGTTTGATCAAGAACAGGCCATATGTGCTGTTCCTTTGTTTACTTTGCTCCCAAACAGTTCCTATTGATTTGTACAGTAGCTACAATAAAAAAAAAAAAACCCACAGACATTTGCCCTCCTCTTAAATGAACCATGAAGATCAGTGTGAGCAGCGATTGGCAATTTAATCGCTTTTGAGCCCACAAAATAATTTGCGCAGATATGCCATTCTGAAGCGATTGATTAATTTCAGCAGTGATTTATATCTGCTCAGCGCCTGCATCAAGTTGAGTTGGCAAGGTAACTGATGCAAATTAGACTTGAGCTTTTGCCAGACACCTTTTATCAACGTTGTCACTGAGGCAATTACTGCGGGGCTAAATACGAATGTTGTTCAGCACTAAGGCAGCTCCTTCCAGGTTTCTCACATGTGGAAAAGAAGATGTTGCTGCTTAAGTGAGGTGCTTGTAGTCATTAGTGCAGAATCACTCAGTCATATGGAAAATTTGACAACAGTTTTGAAAGTTAATAGAATTTAGTTACAAAGTAAAAAAACATGTTTTTTTTTCAATGTAGAACACCAGCTTTCTTCTTTTGCCATGATTTGCTGCATCTTTTCAGTTAAATAAATATCATAATAATAATATTTCATTGTAATTATTTCTTGCTTTTTATACAGATTTCATGGCAAATTTTAATTATTACTAGTATTATTTTTTTAAAGGCACATTACAGTGTGCTGCTTGCCATTTAATATTCTTTGGGGATGTGGATTCAAGACGTGACAGCACGCCGCACCGTGCCGTGTTACAGTGTTGTCCCTCCACAGGGACCTAAGGCCCATCTGATACACGCAGCACAGAAAGAGATCCAAGTGAACGCGGTAATATGAGATGAGCGTAGACGAGGGTGTATCTGCAAGTGGTCGGCTCACTGCGGGGGTCTGTGAGCTGTACGTGTGTGTGAGCCTCCCCACTTGATCACCGCTTCTTTCGTTCCTGTTGGCAGCTCGACTGATTAAGCCGAGCAACACAATAGGGTTCATAGGTAATGATTGTGCGCTCTTGCAATCCCTTCACAATTATTGATCTTTGATTGTTCAACTCTGAGAGCACATGTGTACATCCTCTATTCAGCAAAACGTTAGCGCAATCACAACTAAACCTCTTTTCTAAAGATTAGTTATCTCGGGTTTTTGCTCTGTAATTTGACCCAAACGCCGTTTGATTAATCCCATCCCGTGATGTGTGAATGCTTTGTACGCAAAACACCTATTATCTCCCCCACGAAAAGGCAAATCTTCATCATGATAAATCAGCCCTTTGTTCTTTGGAGCAGATTTAATCATCGTTCTTTCTTTATGTGCAGCATCCTTGTTTCTTCATTGTCACAAACACAAACATTATTTTTAACGAGTCAGACCGCCAAGTCCGAGCAGCCGATCAATCAGACTCATAAAAAATTTAAGTCCCTACACAGAGAAGCGTACTAATGTTTGACAATGCTCCTACTCCCTCTCTCTCTCTCTCTCTCTCTGCTCTCACACTCTCTGAAATTGCATATTTAGTTCTTGGCAAAGCCACAATTTGGACAGCTCGGCACTTTTCTACATAACCTACTTTCCGAAGGGGGTTGTTGTGTTTTTCCCCCCCTGGCCAACCCCCTTTTGTTTAATTACAAGCCTCTATTGATTTCCATGGGAAAGAGCAGCACGCTTTGCCCACACACACCTCGGCCGCATCGGCAAATCGAGACTGGAATTAGAATGCGCGGTGCCCTGTGCTCCCCAGTCTGAAGATAGCTCAAGTGCTCTCTGCTTCACGCCTCAAGTTTTAAGATGATCCTCCTTAATGCAGCACTTGCTTAAATACATAGAAGGCCCTTTAGTGTCAGCCAGAAGCACTATGTTATTTCCATAACGTCTCTTCTATAGAGGGCTGCAGAGCTCTCTCCAAAGCTTGACGCACCGTAATTATGGAATTTAGTTGCTGCCATTTTGTATTTTCATATGTCTTTTTTGCAGAAACCTTTTGGTAAAAATGCTGTGATCCCTGGGATTTATCTGCAGTATCTTGTGTGTGTGTGTGTGCTGTATGGATTACTGCACTGTATATGAGTTGCATCTCCAGCCCAACCTCAGGCTGTGGAGGAGGCAATCAGGATTTAGTCAGAGAAGAAGGCAGGATAAAGACCACACAGCCTTGCTCTGACACTTAAAGTCAAGGAGGGGGGATCAGAGACTATAACTTTAAAGATGATGGCCGAAGCCCTTGACTAAAGGTCTAAATGAATAAGAAAGGTCAATGCGGTTTACGTGTCAGCTCCAGTGCCTGCACCACCCCCACAGTAATGAAAGCCACAAAGCCCTGTCCACCGCTCGCTGCGTACAGTTCACGTTTTGCTAGCGAGGCTCAAAGGTCAAACCCAATGCCATTTGCATATCAGGAATTGCAAACAGGCCGGCGTGACCTTAGCTGTGCAACATCAAACAAACAGGGTTGTTGTTTTTGTTGTGTTGTTGTGTTGTTTTTTTTTATCTGACTCTTGCAGCTCCCCCCACTCTGGCGCTGAAGGGGTTAACCAGCCTCTGTGGGTCGAGGAGTCTGAGCTGCACAGATTTAATCAATAATTTCTATCAGCCCCTGGCCCAAGAAATCAGCAGGGGGTGGGCTGGGGCTGGGTGGGGGTGGGGGGGGGGGGGGAGGGGGTGCGGAGGGAGAGGACAGGGAGGGGAGTGGTGGTGGTTGTGAGGGGGGTGGCTGAGACGCCGGGGGGTAGGGAAAGGGCTTTCGATCACGTTTCAGCAACACGAGACAGGGGCATACATCATGATTAGGGGCTGTTCCCACGATCATAAGAAGCCTATAGGGGAATATTTATGTCTCCAAGAGTAGCCCCGGTGCTGGGGATTTATAGCATGGTAATTGTGAGCCTTTTACACATGATTACAGCATAAGGAAGCATTTACTTAATGGTCGGCGTTATGATCGTCAGTAAGGGAGAGAGCTGAGGATAGGATGGCGGCGAGGAGGAGGAGAGCGGCAGGACACGGCAGCTCCTCCAACGAGCCATAAATCCACGCTACAAGCGAGCTAGCCAGCACTATCATGTCATTCCTTTCATTACTACATGAGCTCAGAGTGCACCACTGTATATACATTCCATAGCTGCAGCTCACATCCCAACACCCCCAACCCAGAAATATTGACCGTGGTGATGGTATAACTCATATGAAGAATGCAGCACAAATACTATATGTGTATGTGTATATATATATATATATATATATATATATATATAATTTCACTTGTGGTGATATTGACATGTTGCTGACATCTCGGCCTGTTCAGATTTTAATGAGACGTGGTTCGATAACTCTCAGAAATGCAAACGAGCTCTGGATGCCTAAAAGCTAACAGGCCCCTGTAATCTCAAGTTGACAAGAGTGCATCCCCGAGTCAAAACACTTCCTTCAGATAATGATTTTAGAGGAGAATGTTCACAGGGAATTCATGGGGAGATTTATTCATGTCCAGTTGAGTACTTAAGTTTCAGAAACTCAGCTGGATGTTAGAGCAATCAAAGCCAGACGGTGCGAAGTACACACACACACACACCCACCCTTTAGACCTGCGTCTAATTCTGCTGTTGTGATTGCACTCTGTGAAAAAGATAGCGGTGAGGTCACACTTTTTCCTAAAGCGCTCTGCTAATGAGAGAAATTTGCCACTGTGCGTTTGAAGAGTGAAAAGCCAGTCATACAGTTAACATCAGCAGCACCCCTCAGTATGTGAGATGTTTCTCAATGGCAAACTGTGAGCCAATCAATTGGACGTGTCAGTGCTGTTGTGAGAGCAAAAGGCAGCATCTGTGTTTTATATAATGTATGTTTGCAGCGTGAGTTGGGTTGTGTTTCTCCGTGTGTTAGGGTTTGAAATATTGGATCTCAAGGTTATTGCGAGCTGAAATCTCCATATAATCACATATTTTTTTTGTCAATAATAGAACTCCATACATATTTCTCTGTGTTTTCTTAATATAAGTTAAAAAAAAATCTGCCTGTGCTGCAGGATTATTTCGACCAGCTTCAACACGAATACAGCTTATTCCTCTCTTGCTTGAAAAATGGTGCTTGTTAAATCTCGAAAAGAAAGAAAGAGTTTCTCTTTTCTTGCAATAAAAATGACACGTTTGTTACACCGAGGGCTGTTTTGGTTGGCTAAATGCTCCAAAAGCCCAAAGAGCATGTGTAACCCCGGCATCTTATCTTTCTGACATCGAGAAAGCTTCTGAAACAGCATGCCAAATAACATGCATATCTAATATCATACCTATTAGAAGAATTCATATTTTATACCCCCCCTGAAAAAACCCCCACTCTCTATATAGGCACTAATCCATCTGTCCTTGCTCATTTGTGTGTGTGTATTTGTGTCTTTGTGTTTTTTGTGCACGTACACCAGTGTGCTTACACTTAGAAATGCATTTGATACCATCAGCAAAATAGTCGCCCAGCAACCGCACAGTGCTGATTGAAACCTCTTAAAAGTGTGCATTTAGGTAATTGCACGACTCCCCCAAATATGTTTTAGCCCACTTAAGGCTTCTAAATGCCGTGGGCAATGCCGACTCTGCTTGTTTCACTCACCCCTGACGTAACCTGCCTTTAATAGAAAATAAATTAGTTCCCCCTAAAGTGATTATTACTCACTCACTGCCGCCACATGTAAATGACTTTTATGAGAAACTAATGATGTTGAAGTGTCCACTAAGGGAAAGGAAAGAGTGGAAGTGGAGGGAGATGGTTAGAGAAAAAGAGCGGGATGGAGGGTGGGAGGGAAGGGAGGAGAAGTTGGCTCGGTACACAAAGGCAGAGGTTGGTGTTGTGTTTCCTGTAAATACAGAATTACAGCGTGTTAGAGGTGAAAGGTTCAGCGATGGATATGCAGAGGAACATGCAGCCTGAATTCAAAATGCTCGTCTGATTCTCAAAATGGATCTGAGCTCAGCCCACACGCATCAGGCTATTTTTCTCTCTCACTAAACAAAACTGTTCTTTGCACTCTTTCTTTTTTTTCAAAATAAATTTCAGACTTTTTCGCGAGAAAATATTGATTATATAATTGGGCGGGCTGCCGCAGCTACAGTGGTGTTTAACCCAGACCCTGGGATTTTATTTTGTGGTTGGTGTACGCGAGACTTAGATTAAAAAAAGAATCACCAGAAGATTTAACTGTTACTGTAGATTGGATTTGGATAACTTTGATACTGGACAAATGCTGCTAAAGCTTTTTATCTTCTGAGGACTAAAGATGCAGAAATATACGGATGTTAAGTAAGGGAGAGTCTAAGAGGGACAAAACGTGACATTTGATGTGATAAAAGGTTATATTTCAAATTTTTAAGGGAAGAAATTTGATATACATCTGTTTTTGTGTTTGAATTCAATTTTTTTGGAAGATATTGCCATTATCAGTGCAACACCAGATTTAGTTTGTCTCCAGGCCATATCTATGTAAAAAATTAGACCATTTTCCAAAATGTAATTAAAGGGAATAATGAAAAACATCATGGAAGACTTCAGGACTTTGGTCTGGATGTAGTTATATGTTTTTTTCCTCCCTAGCAGCTTACAGCAGCTCACTGGTAATAAGATGTGATAGGTTGAACATCTTGATTCCTTTACTGCACAATGAAACAAGTTGCTGATTCATCTCTTTTAACTAATCAAAGTTGCTTAGCTAATCTGTTTTCTTTCAACAAATCCACTTTCCCTCAGCTTAATCCATTTGTCCTAGTTAGCCAGCCAGTCTGTTAGCTAACCTGCTTCCCCTTTCCTTTTTTTAATTTATCTTTTATCCATCTGCCTGCAGCCTGCAAGCGTAAGGAACAGGAGCAGAGCAAGCTGGAGCGCAACCAGGGCCCGAAGCGCACCAGGCTGGTGTTCACAGACCTGCAGCGGCGTACGCTTCTGGCCATCTTCAGGGAGAACCACCGCCCAACCAAAGAGCTCCAGGTCACCATTGCCCAGCAGCTGGGCCTGGAGCTCTCCACTGTCAGCAATTTCTTCATGAATGCCCGCCGACGCAACCTCAACAAGTGGGCAGATGAGGGCCGTCCTTCTTCCACCGGTTCCTCGGGCTCCAGCATTTCCTCCTCCGCAGTGTCCTGCAGCACGGCGTGATGCTAGACCGTCGCGGAGGTGCGGTGAGGAGGGCGCTGAGGGAGCAAGGGGGCACATAGACTGGTCTAGGCAGAGATCAGCCGTAATAAATGTCCTCCTCGTTATCAGAAGGAGAGATGGAGCCAGCTATTATAGATGAGTTTATGAAGATGAAGCATTTTTCCCAAACCAAAGTCAATTGCTCCCTTGAAAAGGAAGGGGCAATGCTTAGTGATATGATTGCAAGATGCGAGGTCTTGCCTGTATAGTCAAGGGTGCAAAGATGATTTGACTCAAAGAAGAGTCACACCCTTACATAGACACCATCTCATTGCATTATTTTGATTATGTAGATTAGAGATAATGAGGGTATTGCAAATCAGGAGGAAGCATATTTTGGTGTACCTTCAAATCTTTTCTCATCTCTCCAAACGTGAGGAATCAAGAGGTGTCGTTCGCTCACATCTGGAGAGCTTCATTGTGTAACTTCCTAATCAAGTGATCGCCATCATCCAAAGACATTAATCCTTCCCCGATGTTATTATAGTCCCTTTATTCCTCCAGAATCAAGGTGAAAGAGGAAGAAGAGGCATTTTTTTTAAGTCCTCGTTTTTTTTTTCTTGGAGAACTGAATGCCCTTTTCTTAGCATGTTTCCATGGTAATGGTTCCCAGGACTGTATGGCGTTGTTCCAAGCTTGGAGCCTGGAATAATCAGGAGGGTTCTGTAGCGTCTGTGACTCCCAATTGTCAATCATTTCCCATCAACAGGAGCCTCTTCTGTATTGTGTCAAGACGGTCCCACCTCGAATGAATCAGAGTTTTCAAGGGGGAATCGCGGCACATCTCACCGTATGCCAGGACAGAATCGATAAACACAAGTAGGACACAGAAACAGACTTGTTGGTGCAACCGTCTAGCTTTAAGACTCTCACCGAGCTTCCAAATTAAAGCTCCACAGCCATTTTTTTGGACTCAAAATCAAAAAGAAAAAACAAAAACACACACACCCAAAAAAAACAAAAACAAAAACAATTTGAACACAAAGGCTCTCTGGAGAAGAGGTACACCTGACACAATGTATAGTGACATTGTAGTATTTTTTCCACTCATTTCCAAACAACTGTATACTCCTCCATTACAAAATCTTTTTTTTACAGATGTCTAGAAAATGGAGGAATGTGATTCTTTCCAATGTTTTTGTACAGATTTCAAGCACATCGCTCTATTTATAGTAACGCGTTGGAAGTGTGGGGCAGTTTGTTTCAGCCCTGCTGACGTACAAGGTCATTGTTTTGGTCCACAAAGGAATGGCTTTAACCATGCCTCCTTATAGCCAATAGATGAATCAAACCAAGAACTTTTCAAATGCAATTAATGATCTGATCGACATATTTATTACTGCATTTGTGTATTTATTGGTTTCCCTTTTTTTTTCCTTTATTTATTTGGTTATTTATTTATGCTATCTATATACTGTAAGTATTTATTTAACAATGCTCTGTATGTCTGTGTGAAACTGAAAACTTTTTGTGATGGGCACTTTTAGCTGTAGAATCCCATCGTAATACCAAAGATTAACATTGCCTCCCTGAATGTACGGCCTGAATCCCTAAACCCAGTACCCGATCCACCCGGATCCAGCCCGACCCACCCAGTGATGTTACGTATCTCTCTATCTTTAAGGCCTGGCCCTTTTTCTTTTCTTTGTTTTGTTGTAGAATTATGGGGAATTCTTTACTCTTGCAAATGTCTCTGCTGTCAGCTCTTAATGCCAAGGCCAAAGCTTGTTTGAATGTTGTGATAATATTTATAATTAATAATACTATCAATAATGACAATAACAATAATAACAAAGATGATGTGGCATCCCATAGGCTCACAAGTTGCTTGTAAAGTTGTGTTCAGACCAATGCCATCTGGCAGAGTGCGTAATGTGTCTGGGGACCCACTTAAAGCACTGTCTAATGCTGCGTGAGTCCTTCGGGGTCACGCGCAAACATGCGTACTGTGCATCTGCCTGGGGAAATGCATGGTTATGACCCCCCCCACCCCGCCCAATCTCCCTCACCTAACCCCTTCCCCAGTGCAGTGCAGACACTACTGTCTATGTCCTTCTCAGTGTGATCTCACCGTCCACCACACGCAAAGGCTTCTGCTAGTTGTCTCAGTTCCAAGACGTTTAGTAGGGTTCACTCCCGACTCCTCCCGTGTTTTCTTCAACTTGAATTGAGATACTGGAGTTTTTTTCTGGGTTTGTTTGCTGTCCAATGTGATTTGTAAAGGGTGTTCCTCATCTTCTGGGGAATTGGATTTATGTACCCGTGGTTTTTAAGGTCTTTTGAAGGTTTTTCCCATTCTCGTTTTCTGGGAATCTTTAATTTCTTTTGTAAGATTCTTTAGTTTTATGACCTATGTCCTCTGCCATCCAAAGTTCAGTGTTTGAGAAGTCTTAGATTTTGTTGTAAGGCTTGTGGGGCTTGTCCCTGACCCTGTAAGAGCTTCATGGATCTTTCCTGATCATTTGGAGTTTTGGTGTTTGTTCTAGGTCTTCCTTTCTTACCTGGATTTCATTCTGAGTAGTGGGTGCTGAAATCAGGAGAAGTCACCCAAGATTTAATTTTCTCGCTCTCGACTAAATGCTGCCCAAGTGTGGCAAAGCTAGATTTGCTGTTTTCGACATTGACTCTTTCCCTGTCTCATTTTCTCTCCCTTTCTCTGTCTTTAACGTTGTAAGAGGCGGATTGCCGGGGCCCCCTTCACAGCGTGCACTTGAAAGACGGGTGGTCATGAAAGAGGCCATCGACTTTTTCGTGGACTTCAAAGGGGAGGCTTTTTTCATCCCGTCTCCTCTCTGGGTATCTGGTCTGGGGTCTGCTCTTGGCCAGACCTGTGGGCTTTAGGGGGCATTCAAAAAGGGGTGGGGGGGAGATCAGAGAGGAGGCTGAATCATCCAGAATGAGGATGGTGGTAGCAGTGTGTATGGAGAAGTAGGAGGGGGGTTGTTTGAGGAACAGGAGGTGTTGGAGTAGTGGGGCATAGAGCTGAATTAAACTTTAATGAGCAACAATTGTAAGCATGCTGAGAGCTGCGGGGGGTGGCGGTGGGGTTGTGTGGCTGTGTTTGTACAGCGGTGAAAAAATTAAAAATAAAAGAGCTTGAAGGCTCTTCTGCTGATCTCTGCCCACTGCTGTCATTGTATCAAAGCTGAGGTGACACCTTTCAGGTTTTTCTTTGTCTCTCTGACTGAGAGTCTAAAATGGAGACAGTGCTTTTTGTATTGAGCCACCCTCTGCTCCGTGTCAAGCAGGGAAGCTCTTCCCTTTCTGTACAGAGGGTAGGCGGGAGGGAGGAGTGAATCCAGTTGGCTGCTGCAGGTGATCCGCATTGCCATTTTAGCCTGCGGCACCCCCTAGTGACTTTTCTAGAAACTTGACCCTGAGACAAGCCTGGCAGCCGAGGCCATTGCAGAGCAATTCTTAGGAGCGCGTTAATAATGAAATAGCAGAACTGAAAGCTGACATATACTTTCAGAATAAAAAATTTAAAAAGACCAAAAAAGTACTGTTTTTGATAACGTTTGAACGAAAAAACAACCAAAGATCAATGAGTAACTGCTGAATCATTATGTAATGTAGGTAGTTTTAGCAGTTCCTCATCAGAGCTACCGTAGCACTCAGAGGATTCAAAAAAGCACCAGTGGGGTTCCGTGTGCTGGTTATTTATGTTGCATAAATCAGTATTATGTTGAGCTGGAACTGAGAAACTGACATGAAGCAGTGTCTTCAGATGAAAGTCTTTTGACCCCAGTGTCTCCCCCTCTGTCCCTGTCTTCTCCCGTGTGCGTACATGAAGACTTTACCCATCTACCTCAACTGTGTGAGATGTTGTGTGGCAAAAATGTTCCTTAACCAAAGAATCCATTCTGTCAGGGTGTCTGTCTGTCTATCTATCTTGTCTGTTCATCCGTCTCTTCTTCTTCATGCCTTTTACTTCTTCAAACCAAATGTGCTGGAATCAATCTGCGAAGGGGCTGAAGGAACCCCCTGTCCAGCCAAAGCTCAAGTCGAGTATGCTAGTGTCCCATTGATCCATGTTCTGTATATAAATAAAATCATTCTCAAGACCAAAAAAGAAGGAGGTGACAATCCAAGCAAGGAGGATCTTGCTGTAATCAACGTTGCCTGTTCCTTGTTTTCCAAAAGCTAGAATTATGCGAATTGCTGTAATAGAAAAAAAAAAAACCCAAATCAAGCACTCATCCTAACATAAAAAAAAGATCAGAGGAGACAGAAGCTATTTTTCCACATTTGTAAGCCACCCCTCCCACCTGTTTTTTTTTTTTCAAAATGTTTAGTGTAGTTGAAATACTGTTCAATCCCACTGTTGTAAGTAGGAATTAATAAGATCCATACAAAAAGCTTTAAACGGGAAAGAGCTGAGGGAAATATCTGACTGAGTCTGACTTTCCCCAGCTTGGACTCGACCCACCATGCTTTATTGTGCCATTCTTGTCCATGTGTTAGACTTACTAATGAATGTGGCTAACCAACCAAAGGCTTTAAAAAAAGATATACAAAACTTTAAACGTCAATCATGGTGGGACATTTTGTATCAACAACTAAAGAAAATCCCTTTGAATACCTCATGTGAAAATTGTTTGTTGTGATGTTGCACTAAAAAAAATAAAAATGACTCATTTGTAACCCAACACTGCAGTCTGTTGACTTTATTCTGACCTTGTTCAAGGTGTTAGCAGGAAAGATATGTGGGTTTTAAAGGCCAACTCCAGCACCAATAGCTTCTCTGAAATCTGATTTATTTTTTATTTCGTCCAAAAACAAGAAAACACACTTACGAAACCAAGGCTTCCTTTTAAACTTCCTTTTTGTTTAACGAAAATGCTGTATAACATGCACATTTTAGTACTCAACCAGTTAAAACCCTCAACCTCCCATGTTTACATGTTTACATAAATACATATCCCCCTTTTGTCAGGTCTGTGATGGCAGACTGTGTGGAGAGTGGAGAGAGTGTGGACCCAAATGCAGACTAAAGAGACGGTACTGGACTGCAGTCAAAAATGAAAGTGAGCTTTTTATTTTTGACTGCACAAAATACAACCAAAGCAAAAGGGAGACTAAGATTAAATCAACAAAAACTAAACTGTGAAAAACAACTAAACACAAGGTACCTGGAACAAGAAAACCTGAGACTTGAAACAGGACGGATGATAAACATGACGAGGATCTGACGAGGGACAAAGGCAAACGAGAGGGAATGAAACAGAACTAACTAAAAGTAATTAAGAACCAGAAATCTAAATGATTAAACCAGGAAACTAAGTAATACCAGAAAAGGGCTAAGAAACATAAATCACTACCATCGTAAGAAAACAAGGCCAAAAGTCCAAAGACATAAACACTCAGTAACAGACACAGCACCATGACACCCTTAAATTTAAATATTATAATTCCGTGTTCATTATTTTGTGAATAAGGAACCAGATTTTTGGAAAATGTTTTATTTTTACATTGAGTCTGATTACATAATATAAGTGTCAACATCAACAACAAAGCAGCAGTACATGTTGTGTTGTGAATTCAATCTTAATCTCACTCATGTCATAAAATATACACTAGTCCAGCGCTAAACATCCAGCAAATTCACAACTTTTTACCACAGATATAGAAATATTTTTAATTAAACCTTGTAACTTTGAACAGATGTCTGTTCGGGTATACCAAAAATGTGTGTACTCACACACAGAGATACACACATTAGCATTTCGACAATGTCGCACGCCAAAGAAAGTCAGTGATAATGATTCCTCCTCAAGATATAATTTTTCAAGAGAAGCACCAAAAAGTGTTAGTTTGAAGCTGTAGTTTTTGAAGACTTAATAAAAAAAAGTCATAAATGATATATTCATTTATATTCACTTTGCAAGAGATTCATTTCAGTTCCCTCTGCAGTTACATGACGGGGTAGCAGGCATCCCGAGCAATGCCACACTGATCATTCTGGTTGCGTGCCATCCGGATGTATCCCTGATCTCCGAAGGAAGTTCCCCAGCTGGAGAGTACAAAATAAATAAATAAAATCTTCTGAGATAATGAATTATCAGCTAAATTTAATTAAATGTTTTAAAACTTCACATTTTGTTATTGATGTATTAAGTCGTTCTTATCTTGTTTTTTTGATGTTTTTATTAAAAAAGAAAACAAAAGAAGATAAAACCAGGTCCAGTGGATGATTAAATGCTTGTTCAGACTTCAGCAGCTGGTACATGTGTTTTTTCATCTTTGAATAAACATTAACAAAACTGTCTTTCTTCCTACTTTTACATTTTACATTTATGTTTAAGTATTAACAAAGGACAGGGATGTCATATGAGTGGATGTGTCCATTAGTTGAACCTCAGATGCATTTTTTTGTCCTTGTCGTGGAACACTTGACCAGCTCTTGATCTGCAAAGCCGGCAATAAGTTGGACTTGTTCCTGGTGGGTGATGGGCTTCGCCAGGGCAGCCCTTAGTCACCTATTCTGTTCATAATTTTTATTGACTGAATTCCTAGGCGTACCCAAGTGGCAGAGGGCTTTCACTTGGGTGGTCTCAGAATGTCATCTCTGCTTTTCGCAGATGATGTGGTTCTGTTGGCTTCATCGGGTGATGGCCTCCAGCTCGTCTTGGAACGGTTCGCAGCTGAGTGTGAAGCTTTGGGAATGAGAATCAGCACCTCCAAATCTGAGGCAATGGTCCTCAGCCAGGAAAAGGGTGGAGTGCCCACTCTGGGTCAGGGATGAGTTCTTGCCCCAAGTGGAGGAGTTCAAGTACTTGTTCACGACTGATGGGAAAAGGGAGTGGGAGATCGACAGATGGATCGGTGTTGCGGCTGAGTGATGCGGACGCTGTATCGGTCTGTTGTGGTAAAGAGAGAGCTGAGTGTAAAAGCAAAGCTCTCAATTTGCCGGTCAGTCTACGTCCCTACCCTCACCTATGGTCACTAGATGTGGGCAGTGACCGAAAGAACGAGATACAAGAGGCAGAAATGGGCTTCCTCCGAAGGGTGGCTAGCCTCCCTCTTATAGGGTGAGAAGTTCAGCCATCTGGGAGGGGCTCAGAGTAGAGCCGCTGCTCCTCCACAACAAAAGGAGCCAGTTGAGGTGGTTCGGGCATCTGACAAGGACGCTACCTGGGTGCCCCCCTGGGTGAGGTGTTCGGGGCATGTCCCACTGGGAGGAGGCCCTGGGGCAAACCCAGGACACTCTGGAGAGATTATATCTCTCGGCTGGCCTGGGAATACCTTGGTATTCCCCGGACAAGCTTCTCCGCTTAGGCTCCTGCCCCCATGACCCGGGAAAGAAGAAGATGGATGGTTGTCCAAACATTTGACAGCTATACTATTTTGAAATTGATTTTTTCATGCATTACATAATTATAAAATGTAATTAAACTGAACTTTAATTTAGTTTAATGACTTCGTCCAGTTGCCACACTGTTGACGAAAAATTACATTTTTTAAAACGATTTTTTTTGATCACTTTAAGATTACCACTAGTCCTGTCAGCAAAAACTGAACGCCTGAACAGGATGTAACAATCAGTTTTTGCGTGTTGATGATATGTACTTTTTTTAAAAAGCCCTGACTTCTCTCTTTCACTTCTTATTTGTCTTCTAGAGTCCTCCAGAATGCACCACATTAGTGAACAGATGGTGGAAGACAATAGAAGCCCTGTCCATGAAATCACTTTGTATATAAAAGCCAGATTCAAGAGAAATCAGTGAAAATGTCTCACCTGTTCTTTACGAGCCAGTAGTCTTGTCCATTCAGAGTGCCGTAGCCCACAGCTAACACAGCGTGATTCACATTCTGAGAGCATGATGGGTCATTATACACTCCTGAAATTATAAGACGAAATTATCAATCTCATTAAAATTTTCTAAGCAGCCATAAATAATAATTTCCATGAAAACTGAACTCAAATTTGTCTTCTAAAAAACGAAAAAACACTCCTTCATCCTCCAAACATTTTAAAACAGTTTTTCCATTTACTTTGCATCTGATGAGGTGTATCTTACCACTCCTATATAAAATAAACGTGGGCCGCCTAGCATCGATTAGCACTGAAATGGGTCCAATGGTAGCAAGACTCTGCTTCAGAGCGTTCTCGTCCCCTTCAGGCAGACACTGGTAACTGGAGCAGTTGGCAGCACGGGTTGCTGGGTTGTAGTGGCACTGATCATCCTGAAGTTAAAGAAAAAAATGTTAAAGGATCTGATGCAGTCAGGAAAGAACTTCATACACATTAAAAAATCTAAAAATATTCTTGTTTTACTACATACAGGGCTGCCCTAAGGCAGAATTGGAGAATTGGGAGGGGCACCAACAAATTGAAAATATAAGTTTCACTCCCATTCATTAACTAGGTTTTTGAATTCAGTTGAGTGGCCCATGGGGATGTGACACATAAATGATAGTTTGGCAAAGCTGTGATTATATGTGTGATTTTTTGATTATACACTCCACTTTGTTAAAATCACTCCTTTAGTCTTGTAGGCTCTCCGTTGATTGGACTGCGTCTCACTTCTCAAAGGAATAAGTCAGTGGTGTCATAATTTGCACTTCAGGACAAAATTAAACCTAAAGACTGTTGCAAACTACATAGATATTGTCATAATTTCCATGCTTGATATTTTTGGTCAGGGTAGTCACTGAGTATTTCACATTACAAAGTTCTTGTTTTGTTTTTGTTTTTTCATTTTTTAAAAATGTTCTTTTGGTTAAATTAAAAACATCGCCACCCCCGCGAGGCTGGAACAGTCTGTTGAAACATCTCAGAACTGGCCTCCTCCACACAAACAACAGCGAACTACATAAAGCCTGGAGGACAAACATGTTGTCCGCTCCGATTAATTTATTGTTGCTCCAAAGAGACGTTAACAGCTGACCACAGACAAGTGTGAGTGTTGCTGTCTACAGCCTGAAGGATC